CAGCTCCCTGCCGGCCGGCGGGCCCCGCTGCCGCCGCGGAACGCCTGACAGCTCCGGGTGCTGCTGCCTCTCCGGCCATCTTGTGCCGTGTGTGTGTGGTGTCTCTCTCCCGTCTCCTCTCTCGGCTTTACTCCCTCCTCCTCCTCCCCCCCGCCCCACACACCACACAACATGGCCTCTTCGCTGCGGCGGCGGCTGCGGCGGCAGCGGCAGCTCCGCCGCGCTCCTGCCTGCTCCCCTCCCCCCTCCCCACCTCCCGCCCGCAGCCCCCCCAAGTTCCCAACGCGCACGCGCGCCGCCGCCCGCCCGCCGCGGCCATTGGCTCTGCGAGCTTCCTGCCACCCCTTCCCGGAGCGGCCTCACGCACGCTCGCTGGCGTCTTCCTCCCGCCTAACAACAACTACTCCGATACTATTGGCTAATTCTGACCCCACCCCTTCAGCTACCTTCGCGAGGATAGACTGGCCTTAGTGTCATTCACCTCTCGTAGGCGTTTCTGGTTTTCTTGAAGGGCCCTGGCACGCGATTGGGTGGTGATGGAACCTTGAGGTTTGGAGCGGAGCTGTGGTTTTGCGCCCCGCAGTGCGGACCCCTCCGGGCAGGCCGGGGGTTTGCTGGCGCGGGGTAGACCAGGCCAGGATTGTTAGTCCAGTGCCCTAGCGATGAGGGCTTCGCCTCTGGAAGAACCTCGGGAATCTGTAATTCTGAGTTCAGATTTTTGCCTTAAAAAAAAAAAGGAGAATGACTGACAGGGTGACAAGCAAACAAGATGCAGGTTCATAGCCCTTGGGCAAGCAGCCATATCTCCTCGCTATAGAACTCTTCAAGATTTTTCTTCTAAACAGTCAGTCCTTCCCTAAGGGTCACAGAGTCAGAGCCGGTGGTTTTACAACCAGTACATCCCCCTAGCCCAAAATCTGAATTGAGATGCCATTTATTTGAGGGTTTGTAAGCTTCCTGTTACCCGTTTATGTGAGACAGCCTCTTAGTATGTCCAGTGTCTTTAGGCTTTAATGAATCAGAGTCTCATAATCCTAGTTGGGCCAGATCCCACCCTCCCGGCGGTATTTGTTAGAGGGGTAGTTGGAACCCGAACAATCACAGTCTACCTGTCCGGCCTTCTCCCAGAGAATCAGGCAAAACAATCTTCATTTCCTTTAAGCAAATCTCACTTTTTTTCATTACTTCCTCCTTCAATCTGGAAGCAACTCTAGGCAGACCACAAGAATAACTGAAAACCTAACCCTCCCTGACATGGATGGGAAAAGAAAAAGAAGTGGCTCTCACACATTGCTAGGATTTTAGAAATCTTGCTCCTTTTGGCAAGGGACCTGGGGAAAAGGAAAGGAACACCACACGATCTTCTCTTCGTTTTAGTGGATTTATTTGAGGGGAGGGGTCTTGGGGAAAGGTGAGAAGCATTTAAATTCTCTTGAGACCATGCCTCTGGGTTAGAATCAGATAGTGTTAAATACTCATGGGGCCTAGGAACTAGTTGTGGCCCTTTCTTTTAAAAATGACACTGTGAATTGACTTGGCTGAATATGGCATCAGCTACTGAGGGCAGAGCTAGGACTAGAACCCAAGTCTTCTGACTTATAGATCTTGGGTTCCTTCTAAGTGAGCACACAAAAAGAATTAAACTTTCTCCATTTAATTTCCAAAAGAAATTTTAATTTTCAAGTTAGAAGTCTTGAATTCCCAAAATACAAAAGATGTTTTGAACATCGTAGACCTTCAGCAAGGCTGTTTTCTCTGAAATAGCCCCACCCTTAACCCTTTTTCCTCGTTCTTCCAGGTGTGTTCTTGCCGTGCTATTGTTCACTCCCTTTCTCCCCTCCTACCACTACTGGAAATCCATCTATGATTCTGCTTTTCCAGATTCATCACCAAGTACTTCTGTGCCAGTATAGCAGGTCTGAGCAGGCCTTTATTAAAAATAGTAATGGCTGAAAAGTATTGAGTTAGCTATGTGTTGGGCGTTTTTCTAAGCCCTCGGTGTAGGTTAATTCAGTTGATCACACAACACCCATGAGAGACTATTATCATCCTTGTGTATTATCTCAGTTAGGAAATCATACAAGGAATTTAACTTGCCCAGGTTCACACTGCCGAGAAGTATTGGAACCGCGATAGAGCCCAAGTAATCTGGCCGCAGACCCGTTCCCTTCTGCCTCTCCCAGTTTTTGTTGAAGACTGCCCTCTTGCCAGATAGGTTCAGGTGGATCTTCTGTTGTGTGGAGCTGTCTGATTTGCCAGTGGCTCCCTCCCCTACCTCACTGAAGTGTTCCACCTTCAGAATTGGGCTTCCCTCCAAGTGGGAAATGTCAGATCCATTCTACCTTAATTCCCAGACTGGGCCCCACCCATTGCTGTCAGTCTCCTGGCATGCCACCTGGGAACCATCTAGCTCTCTTGTTTTGTTCCTTCTTTAACTGTGGAGAGACTCCCTTTTATGAAAATACACCTTAGGTGGCTTACAT